GTGCAATGCGGTCTACCAGAACTGCTTGGCTTTAGACTATTTTCTGGCCTCCAAGGGAGGAGTTTATGGAAAATTTTAACCTAAGCAATTGCTGCTTACAGATTGGTGATGAAGGAAATGTCATAGAAGAAATCACAGAGAGAATGAGAAAGCTTGCCCTTCTCCTCATCCAGACTTGGAGAGGATGGGATCCCAAAGACTTCTTTGGAGGATGGTTTTCTGCCTTAGGTAGATTCAAAATCTTGATAGGATCAATGGGCCTAATCCTAGAAGCATCCTTAATATTGCCCTGCCTGGTTCCCCTGGTACCATGGTCTATCAGGACATTATGGAGACCATTATAGAAAGGAAAACGGCTGCACATGAAATGATGTTATGGAAATATAAACGCCTAGATCAAGATGATGCTCTTTGACCGTATGTGGGTCCAAGCATCAAGGGTGAAATAATGTAGCAGGGAGGAGGATCAGAAGAAAACAGACTAGATGGATGGAACAGAGAGTAAGCTGACCAAACCCTAGGCCAACTGCTGCTTCTCCTGGCTTAGCAAAATTTCAACAGCCTGTTTCTATCAGATTCATCGACCCTATGAAAAAAAAGAGACAACTCGTAGATGTTTAATATTTATTAAATCGTGGCAGTTCAACTATTGACTGAGACACATAGGGTGGACAGAAAGAGCTTGGACTTGAGAGTCAGCTGGACTTTGCTTACAGTTAGGTAGAGGGACACTACTGGCTAGTCACTCCACCTGTGGTCTTAGGCAAGTTAGCCAATCTCTGTCATCTGTACAATGGGACATTAGCATACTGCAGGCTCTCAATACACAGTTGTTGAAATGAACAGAGTGCATTCAAAATCATTTGTGTTGATTGTTTAAAATAAGCAGAATGACTCAATTCCTGTCCATCTGGACTTCAGTTGTTCAGTTTGGAGTTTCAAGACAATGAAGATCCGAATGATTGAATATCAGTGGGATATCTGAAATTTATTAAGAAGTCTGCAAACTCCGTGACAGTTGTTTGCTGGCAGCAATGCACAACACACGAAGTCAACCCTCTCTAAGGGTTTGTTAGACTGGCATGAATTTGCACCACCTCTTACTTATGAGTAACCATTGCACAGACACACACTCACACTCACTCATTCACTCGCTCACCCAACCAAAATGAGTTCTTTCAGAACTCAACAAGCAGCTGAGTTCTCCCCTAATATCCCAACAGGCCAGTGTCCCCACAAGATTTTACATAATGTTTGTATCATCCAAACCCTAGCAGACATTTTACTAAACTCCAGAAATGTTCCATAGAGATGGAAAAGAACAAAGGGAAAGAAAGGTAACATTTCCCAGCAGCTTTGCCACACTGCAACTTCAGCAAAACCAAGCCTGTCCTTGCTGTCCCTGTTCACTCTACCAGCAGAGTGGGACAGATTTCAGTTTTAAAATGCCTCCTAACAGCATTTGGGCAAATTAGCTTACATGGCTGGGCATTGTGTTGCAGCCACAGAGAATGTTCTTTTCCTGTCAGAAGCTCTGACAGTCCACACCACGGTGAAATACCAGGAACTGCTTAACATATTTCTTGATTTCTCTAAGAGCGAACATTAGACGTATTAAGAAAAACAACCCAATCATTAAGCCTGGTGTGGTTCTCCTAGGAGCCATCTCTATCGCTTTAATCAGATTATGGACAACTCATTCTCATCCCAGACATTTATCTTCTTTGTTAACCCACACACCAAGTGGCATTCTTCTTAACATCCAAAAAGAGTAATGAAAAGTGAGAACAACAAAAAACCTTCCATTAGTGATGGTGTTAAGGTGTTAAGTAACATTTGTTTGCTTTCATTAGTCTCCAAACAACAAAGTACAATGATTCTGATTAAACCTGGCACGTGTAAATGACAGCCGAGTTCTGGGGTGTTTTTGTCTATGATAAAGGATGACTTAAGGTTGAAATTTGAGACAGCCAGGCCTCGTGAGTCACCTGCCTCTCTGTGTTTCCTCAGAGGAAGTTTGCAGCCTCAGAATGGAGGAAGTGGATATGAGCTTGTCAAGAATCTTAGGCTTCATTTTTCTTTTCCCAGTTTGGTTTGGTTTTCAATTTCTCAGCTTTATCACCCATTTTATTGCTGGAGTTAAGTAGGAGTACAAGGCACCGTGCTCTCTCACGGCTCAGCACTAACAGCCATGATGAGCCATAATTAGACGTAAAATCACTACAAAATTACATGGCAGAAAAATTGCCACTAGGAGAACCAGACTTTGTCTACGGGAAACTTCATCGGGTCCTGCATATCTGTCACACTTAAGGGGCACTGCGTGTTTTAGCCCATATTCATCTTACTAAAGCCAAAATGGGAGCCACTTAGACTTTCAAATAAGCTTTTTGGAAGTAGAGAATGCAGGTTTCAACAGACTGTGTGCTGCTAAGTATTGATGTAGAAAGCCATCGCCTGAAGACCAGGACAGCAGCAAGGGCTGTGGGAGCCCAGAGCCTGGAAGGGAAAGAATCAGAAGGGGAGGAGCAGGCCAGGACCTCCCCCATCACTAATAAGGCTCTGAATCCTTCACTGAGAGCCAAAGGGTCCCTGCAACATCATCCAGTCCAACAGCTCAGACTTCTGCCCAGGAAAGGACACACCTGAACATATCCTTAAAGAAACAAGGAGCAACAGCTAGTGGTTTTCTGCATTCACAAAGAGTCGGCCTACCCACTTGCATAGACATGACAAAAAAATTAACCTCAGGACAGAATCTTCACACATGGATAACACAGAATAATCACAGCTATTTCCTTTCTTCCTGTTGTCACCTCTCTTAAACACAGGATTAAGAGACAGTAAGCTAGGACAAAAGGACTGCTATGCAGTGGAGTGCTTTTGAGACTGGGTCATTTAAAAATTGATTTAAGTATACTTATTTGCTTTTAGTGATGGGGTAGGTCCAGGGCTCCTCCTCCTCTTCTATTTCTTTGCTTTTAAAAATGTCATGTGTGTTTTTCTACAGATCAGCCAGAATTGTTAAGGTCTCGTGTTCCTGTGAAATAAAGAAAACATCTCTTGGGATATTCTTAAAACTCAGCATGCACTTTCTAAAGAAGATGGTTTGCTATCTTCCTTCCTTTCTAGAATCAAGCAAACAAATAAAAATTAAAAGAAAGGAAACAAAATTCATGAAATACTGTAGGTTGAGAAGTTATGATTGTTCTGTTCTAAATATGTCTGGTATTAAGCAGCGCATTTAGTGAAATGGCATCAAGCATTATTGATTTTGTCTGCATTTTTAGCTGTAGATCACATATGCTATGGCACCAGCATAGGATATTTGGTGGATGATGAGTTTCCCTCCTGGTAATAGCCCTTGCTCACTGATGAATCTGGGTCTGCTCAGATACAGGGAGAACTATGAGAGGCAAACACCCTGGGCTGGGTGTGGTGGCTCACACCTGTAATCCTAGCTATTAGGGAGGTGGGGATCTGGAGGATTGATGCTGGAAGCCAGTCTGGACAAATTCTTCTCAAGACGCCTATAAAGTTGGGTGTGGTAGTGGCACACGCCTGTCATTCCAGCTATGTGGGAAAGGTAAATAGGATGCACTGGTTGTCCAGGTCTGCCAGATCATAAATGTAAAGACCCTATCCCAAAAATAACTGAAGTGATAAAAAGGGCTGGGGGTGTGGCTCAAGTGGTAGAGCACCTGCCTAGCAAGTGTCAGGCCCTGAGCTCATACCCCAGTACCACCAAAAGAAAAGAGAAGAAAGAAGTACGCTGGTAGATGAACCCAGGGTGTAGAAGAATGTTGTTAAATTAGAGAAGACACTAATTATAATGTGTTTCTTCAGTACAACAATCCACGCCTTACCTTTAACTGAAGAATTTCTCTGAAATCATTAGCTACTAGGGTGTGAAGAACACAGCCAAGGACAGATGTCGAGAGAAAGTTTGGCCCATAAATTTGGCCAAGGTATTTATTCTCCAGTTCCCTTTGCCATGGCTGAGGGCTGCTCCCTGGAACACAAATTCCCTGGCAGTTCAGGGGCAGGCTGGCCAGGTGAACGAACACTGATGGAGATCCTTGCTGGAGGATGCTTAAGATGGGTGCAGGGAGACATGAACAGGGCTCTGACAGCCTCTGCTCCACCTGCTTGTATTCCAGGAGCGTGACCAGAAAAACCCGAAGCCATCTGTGCCTGTGAACAGACACAACAAATATACCTTTACCTTAGTAGTGCAGGTCCATGAACCCTTCCCAGTACTGTGAGAATATATAATAGCATCATAAACACCCCAAAACATGTCACGATATCGAGAGGCAGCTGTTTGTCTGTCTTTTGAAGAATGTAGGCAGTGTTGGTTGACCTCTACTATAGAACTGGCATAGATTAGCTGAAATGATACTGTAACCATTTTTTAGTACCCAGCTATATGTCCTGTTATAAAAATAGCAAATATTTAATCATACATGTTTCAATAGCTTCAGGGATTCATGGTATTCAATGACCGTGTTAAATGATAATAATCACACCTGGTTTACTACTATCCAAATCAGCAGCTTCTCTTCAGCAGTTATTTTTTATTATATGTGCTGTGCCACTATCATGGTCATTTAGAGCAGTAATATTTAAAGTGGCCCATTAGTTTGTTTAAGGACAACTTCACAATATATTTCTGTATTAATATACATTTTGTACTATTATTTCCAAACTGCCACTGGAAAATCGATCCTTGTCTGTTATGACTGGTGAGTTGGGAAACACATGAATGTCCAAGCTGAGATGGAGTTGGGGACCAGATGGGAACTGTTCCTGAGCCCATGGATTTGTGACAACTGTTGTTGAGCTTATCATAAATGAAGATATGCATTAAGGAAGAGTTAAGAAATGATTAATAGAAGGATTTGGCAGGTATGCCACCCACAGTGCCATGCCACAGGGATACAAGTCTTGGAAGAACCCTGGGACGTGTAGTTTGTGAAGCCTAAGGAGCTTATTGGGCCATGGCAGTATCACATGGGGTTGGCAAGAAGGCCTCGTGGATGACGCAACATTTGAGCAAAGACCTGAAGAGGGTGAGGGCGGAACCCAGGGTGCCCGCTCAGCAAAGCCTAGGGAGCCACAGACACTAGGAGGTGGGGAAGGCAGGTCTAGCCAGAGGGGCAGAACGGTCAGTGGATGGAGTAGACTGAGTGTAGAGAGCAAACTGAGTCTAAGAGGTAACAGGAACAGGGGTGGCAATGGCCTTGGTGACCACAGCAAGGATCTTGACTTCCATTCTATACCAGAAAGGAAGAAACTGGAGAGCCTTATGTGATCTGACCTAGTTTTGAAGGCACTTAGCACCTGTGTTGAGCATAGACTATGGGGACAGCAAAAGCAAGGTCACATCAGGAAGGCATTGCTATGAACCAGACAAGACAAAGGGCAGGGCCCTGGGCAGTCAGGGTGCTGGGTGTAGCTCAGAGGTCTCTGGAAATGAATTCTCTGGGATTTACTTCAATGGAACTTGTTGGTAGAACTTGGTGAAAGCCTGGTTTGGGGAAAGTCATAAATGTGTGGATTTTCACATAAAATTGAAATCAAGTCCCTTGTACACAATCTTCTAAAGGAATACCATGCCATCCTGACTGCAGGTTCTACCCAGTGCCCAACCCCACCCTGAGCCTACTTTCTCTCTGAAACCCCTCTACACCTCTCCCTCTTTTCTTCTGTGTCCCTGCAGTGCTCCCTGCAGACGGGACACATAAATAGCCATTCTTTGGCTGTCACTCTCAGGGCCTGAGGACAGCCAGGACTCAGCCGGCTGGCCTGTTGAAGAATCACCTGCTGGGCCTGAGCCTCCAGCCACCAGCTAGTTGTGGAGTCTGCAGCAAAGCCAGGGCAGATTGCTGGAGTTTGACCAAGAGACCAGATGTGCATGATGAGCTGATCTGACCACAGAGAGACATGTGCCTGCATCTTCAGAAGGCGCACAATTGTCAGGTTAAGCCAAGGCAATTTAATACACATTACCTTCTTTATAAACAGAGAAACAGAGCCTTCTCTCTGTGGGAGTGTGAACGGTAGGAGAGGAAGCTAAATACCTCCGAAATGCTGCCCTGTGACTTTGGGGAAACAAGCGTCCATGGAAAGGACCCAAAAGCACAGAAGAAAGAAGCTATTGATCATCGGTTCACTCTACATTTCAATGCATGACTGGAGTCATCTTTACAGCAAAAAACCTGCCACCTTAAAGGAGCTTCTGCTGCAGACCTTTCACTGCCTTGCCAGTGATTTCTGCTTTCCCACTTCTCCCCCTTTTTCCTTCCCCTCCCTCTCCTCACCTCCTCTCTGTGTCTCTGTCTTTCTTTTTCTCTCTCTCCAAAATACTGGAGATTGAACTCTGGCCATCTACCTCTTGAGCCACTCCCAGCCCTTTTGTTTTCAAAACAAGGTCTTTCTAACTCTGTCAGGGCTGTCCCGGAACACTCAGTCCCTTACCTCTGTCTCCAAATTAGCTGGTATTATAGGTTTGAACCACCATGACTGGCTGCATCTACTCTTCTTAACAGTGCCTGCTACTTTTAGTCATCTCAACAAATCCCAAGAAAAGGTCCATATCTTTATTCTGAAGACACACAAAATAGAGCCAGGGGAGACCAGATGCACAGTAAATGAAGCACTGTGGTCAGTGGAGCAGGGAGAGAGGGAAAGAATGAGAGCGTCCAGGGCTGAATCCTCTCTCCCTGAGGGATGGAACCCTGTCCACTCCACCATTATCCCACCACATCAACCATCCCATCACAAGCACCTTGTGGCCTCCAGCTTCCCCAGCAAGGCGCAGGGCAGGGCTCAACTGCTGGGTGAAACCCTCTGAAACCTAGCCCCTCCACTCCTTGTTCTTGGGGCACAAATTCCACACCAATTCTTCTCCATACTTCTGCTTCCTCCACCAAACTATTCACCAGCACACGACACAACTTGTGTGACCAACTCATATGCGCATGAAATGCAAGTCTGGGCTTCAGTTTATCTGAAGAGGATAAGGGGAAGTTTCCTCCTGAGTAGCTAGGATTACGTGTGTGAGCCAGCTTACTAAGATTTTACTAGACGGTAATACAGCACACTTTATTAAGAACATTCATGGTTTTAAAAAAGTGCCATAGCTCGTATGCTATGCAAGTCCAGAGGAAGAAGAGAGATCAAGAAAATTTTCATGAGAAACTGTCACTTGGGCTGTGCATTGATGGATAAGTAGGAGTCCGTTCCTTAAAAAGCTTGGACAGAGTGTGGCACATGGTAAGTACTATAGGGATTTACCATCACTATTAAAGTGAGGCCAATATCCTTGTCACTAGTCAAAGCAATTTAATGCCTTTCTCCAGAATGGTCCTTCTACTTCCAACGTCCTTCCCCTCCCAGCTCCTTTGACACTTGACAGTTCCCTACTCACCATTCAAGATCATCACTCCCTACCGACATTCCTCTGCGCCCTCATGCATTTTGTGGTCTATGCTCTGAGCACACCTCTGTAGCACACCCACTACCCACTCAGGACAGGACCCCGTGTGACGTCCCGTTCTGATTGTGAGCATCCATGGGGCCCTGCTGGGGCTGTACTCACCTTCACCAATTCGACGGAGGCCCGAGCAGACCCCACATGGATGAAGAGAAAGTAATGTCACAGGGTAAATGAGGTGGTCAAGTGTTGAGACGGGTGACAACGCCCAAAGACACATCTTTGCAAAATCTATGTTGTTGAAGATGGTAGGAAAAATCCATCCCCAAGGAGAAGCCCTGTGTGCCCAGGTGGGGCCCTAGAGGGTTATCCTGGAACAACTTCAGGCTTCTCTTGTTCATTGTTCTTCAGAGAAAAACAGCTTCCCATGTTGTCTTGCCGTGCACTGGTGAGGATCCCTTGTCTTGGGTGCACTGTGAGGAATAGATCTGAACTTAAATATTCTTGCCCCTCCAACACTTACCTCAATGTACTATTAAAGTGTTATGCAGGGCAGGGGCTTAATTTTGTTTGTTATTTCTTTTTTTTGGTGGCATTGGGTTTGAAACTCAGGGCTTCTGAGCACTTGCTAGAGCAGGTGCTCTGCAGCTTGAGCCACATCTCCAGTCCATTTTGCTCTGTGGTTTTCAAGATGGGGTCTCTTGAACTCTTTGCCTGGGCTGGCCTTGAACCTCTGTCCTCCAATCTCTGCCTCCCACGTTGCTTGAATTACAGGTGTGAACCACAGTGCCTGCCTCACTTATCTATTTTGAGTCCTTGGTAAAGACTTAAATGCTCCGACTTCTACAGTTGTTTCGAATTGCTTTTTTACTTGTTTAATTTCTTTTTAAAACCAGCTTTTCCTGAGGTCTAATTCCATACAGATTGCCTCCACCACTAAGTACACGGTTCAATCAGTATTGACAACTGTATACACCCACCATGTAGCTAGCTCCTCAACCAGAAAACAGCTCCTTCCACCACCAAAACATTTCCTGTGCCCTTTGCTGTCAGTCTCCCTACCCCAATCTCAGCAAAAACCACTGCACTCTTTTCTGCCACTGAACATTCGTTCTGACTTTTCTGTGAGTTAATATGAATGAAGTCATATATGACGTCCTCTTTGGGTCTAGCTCCTTTCATTCAGGATAAAAAAATTTGACAGTCGTACCATCAGTACCCATTCTCGTCATTGCTGAGTAGTATTCCTTTTATGAATAGCCTACAATTCTGCCTGGAAGCGAGGAGGTGTGGTGGGAGAGGGGAGCGGTGGAGAGTACAGGGAGAAATGGCCCAATTATGTATGAACATAGTGGAATAAACAAATAAAAAAGCCTACAATTTGTTTATCCACTCAACGGGGAAATAGATTCGGGATATTTTAAAAATATAAACAGCCTTGAAAGAAATGACCTAATTTGTGTGAAGTTTAATTGTGACAATTTGGGTGTGCCCTCACCAGCTCCAAGTCCTCTGAGAACTGAGACTATACCTTGTCTTCCCTTTGTTCTATCACATAACCACATTCCAATGCATTTCCATTCAAAAACAAAAGAATGAATGACCGAATGAGGTCATCTTTGCATCATGGAATCTAAAGAAACAAACTTCATGACTATTTCCACTTCCCCAGACAGCAATTGACTTTTAAAAACGTATTCCTACTCACCAGAGACACTAAATGGCTTTTTTCTTAGATGAAAACAGGAAGCCAGTCTTCCTACCACCATTTTCTTGTGAGTTAATATGAATGAAGTCATATATGACTCCTCTTTGGTGTCTAGCTCCTTTTCACTCAGGATAAAAAATTTGACAGTCATACATCAGTACCCCATTCTCGTCATTGCTGGATTAGTATTCCTTTATGGAATTTCTGCCTGGAAGCGAGGAGGTGTGGTGGGGAGAGGGAGCGGTGAGAGTACAGGGAGAAATGGCCCAAATTATGTATGAACATATGAATAAACAAATAAAAAAAGCCTACAATTTGTTTATCCACTCCTGGGGAATTCGGGATATTTTAAAAATATAAACAGCCTTGAAAGAAATGACCTAATTCTGTGTGAAGTTTAATTGTGACAATTCTGGGTGTGCCCTCACCAGCTCCAAGTCCTCTGAGAACTGAGACTATACCTTGTCTTCCCTTTGTCTATCACATAACCACATTCCAATGCATTTCCATTCAAAACAAAAGAATGAGACCGGTCATCTTTGCATCATGAATCATAAAAAACAAACTTTCATGACTATTTCCACCTTCCCCAGACAGGCAATTGACTTTTAAAAACGTATTCCTACTCACCAGAGACACTAATGCTTTTTTCTTAGATGAAACAGGAAGCCAGTCTTCCTACCACCAAGACAGCAAAATCTCAGTAGAGGGGCTCTGCCTGATTGTCACTGGCTCCAAACTTCTCTCCTCTGTGCCTCTACTTCCCTATCTGGATTGAGAGCATGTGTTTGAGGATTTTGAGCTGATGTCTTCCTAGCCTATGCACCAGAACAAATGCTCTAATGCTCAACTCACTTTCTGACTGCAGGACTTTGCTTGTCCAGGAAGGAAGAGACAACCAGTGGAGCCGACTCACAGTCCTCAGTTTTCCCAGGGGTTGCAAACAGCCATCCTGCACAGATGGCCATCCTGGACCTGGCCACTGTCTTCAGACCATGCGAGGACAGGAGGTGCTGGGTCTCTGGATTCAGGCACATGGGCTACATTAGTGCCCCTCAGGAGGTGAACTAGTGTACACCGTGCGTGGCCTTTCAGGAGGAGGTCACCCGTCTCTCTCTCCCTGCTTCTCACTCATCTTTACCTTGTGTCCTGTGCTCTTGTCACATTGGAACACAGAGGCACCTGACACAGCTGGTGTCAAGCACAAAGACAATGTAACAATAAAACAATAGGAACTGGTTGGGAACAGGGCGGGTGATCAGCTCATGTCATTGTTATTATGGGGGATGGAGAATTAGAAAGAGGCCTTCTGCTGGGGCTGGCACAGGGGGCCACCCTCCCCTGCTGCTCAGAGAGCCAGAGCCAGCCTGTTTCCAAGCCATGTGCCACACTTCCATCCCAGACAGCCTGAATTAATTTCCTCCTTGAGATTTGGTGGGATGCAGTGCAAACGTTTAACAGAAATCGAGTTGGAAAATTTTCCTTCATCCCCGCCTTTTGTAAATCCATCCAAAAATAAAATAGTCATGAAGCATGTCTGGCAACATTGGCCCTTTCTGCTGATGTCTTGCTAGTCACCCTTGCAGATTCCCCTGTCCCCTCTGCACTCCTGTTTGTTCTGCTGTGTTTACTGTTTTGTCTCGTAGCCCAGCACCCTGTCCCTCTATCTAGGGACTTTGCCAGGTCTCGGATCACTTTTAAGGTCTTTTATTTTTAGAGAGCTTTCCCAGTGTGGCAGGGGTGGCCAACGGAGCTGGGGAAAGTCACTAAAGCTGGGGAAGAAGTGACACCCCAGAAGGCGGGACGCCCCCTGGGGTGACTGTCACTGTGGTTAAGTCCCAGGCTGGGGTCAATTGTGCCAGGCGTTGCTAGGAGCTCTGCTTCCTGCTTTGGAACCCAGGCTTTGTTGGGAGACGCGTCGGTCGCGGTTCGAGGATACTTGGCGGGGTAGTCCGACGGCGCTGGACGCTTTTCGCAGAGCGGACCAGGTCGTTTCTCAACCCGCAGCGATGTCAACCTGGTTAGGGGGCCTCGCCTCAGGCTTGGCCCAGTCTCTGGGTCAAGTCCTGGGCACCCTGATTTCCCTTATTGGAGAAATTTCCAACTTGATCCGGAGATGCTGATGGAGACGGAGGAAATGGAGCAGCAGACTCAACTGCACTTGGGGCTAAGCCTAAGACCCTCCACAGTACCACAAAACTAGAATCTGAGGTGTGTCAACTGAATCTACTCAAGGATCATCTGGAAGAGGAAATTAAAACATCATCAAAGATAATTGAAGATCAAAAGCAGAGTCAGATGCAACTGCTTTGGGCTTTACAGGAGCAGAAGAAGGAAATGGATGAGTTTAAACACCAGCATGAACAAATGAACATCACACATAGCCAGCTCTTTTTACAGAAAGATGAGGAAATTAAGAATTTACAAAAAACAATTGAACAACTAAAAACCCAGTTGAATGAAGAAAGGCAGTTCATTGAAACAGAGATTATCCAGCAGAAAGACTTGGACATGCAAGCTTGTCAGGCGAGAATGTCTTCTGCTTCCTACCCCCAGGATGTGACCCGACTTCAACAGCAACTGCAGGCCTACGCGAGGAAGAGAGAACAAGTACTCGCTGTTTTGGAGGAGAAGACAAGGGAAACCAGCCATTTGAAAAGAGAATACCACAAAATGATGGATATCGTTGCTGCCAAAGAAGCAGCACTCATTAAGCTGCAAGACGACAATAAAATACTGTGCACTAGATTTGAAAGTACTGGTCAAGATATGTTTAGAGAAACTCTTCAGAATTTGTCACTTATCATTCGAGAAAAGGACATTGAAATAGATGCACTGAGTCAGAAATGTGAAACTTTGTTGGCAGTTTTACAAACTTCCAGTCCTGGGGATGAGGTTGGAGGTGTAAGTAGTCATCAGTTTGAGGAGCTGCTAGAGGAGCGTAATAAATTAAAGCAGCAAGTAAAGAATATGGAAGAATGGAAACGGCAGGTGATCACCATGGTCCAAAACACTCAGCATGAGTCTGCCCAGGTTCTGGAGGAAATTTATCAACTTCAGGCCCAAGTTTTGGTGGACCGTGATAACAATTCTAAATTACAAGAAGACTACATTGGCCTGATCCAAAGGTATGAGCAGAATGAAATCAAACTTAAACATTTGGGACAAGAATTACCACAAGTTCAGCAAGGCATAAGACAACTTTGTAGTGCCAAGGACCTTCTTCTAGGAAAACTTGATATCTTGTCACACTGCTCTCTTCTGGATCATCATTTACCTCCCAGGCAGCAGAGTCCCTTATACCAAGTGTGTCTGCTGGATTGAGTGAGATTTCTAAACTAAAAGTGGAAAATGAACAACTAGTAGAAACATCCAAGGGAAAGGAAACAGAATATCAAGCATTACAAGAGACTAACATGAAGTTTTCTCTAATGCTTCGAGAAAAAGAGTTGGAGTACAATTCAATGCAGAAGAAGGCTCTTGCTTTAGAGCAGCTATTGAAAGAAAAAGAACAGGTGAGGCTGGGGAGCTAAATCGCTTTTAATTACAGTCGAGTCAATGCAGGAGAAGACAACTGCACTGCAACAGGAGGGAGACCAAGTCATGATGGCCCTGAAACAGAAACAAGTGGAAAACAGCGCCCTACAGAATGAAGTCCACCACTTACAGGACAAAGAGTCACAGTTAAACCAGGAGCTCCACAGACTGTGCAACCGTCTGTTAGAACCGGAAGAGTGTCACACTCGGAAATTGTCGGCCGTGGAAGATAGAGAGGCTAAACTGAGAAAGAAAGTCACATCATTGGAGGAAAAGCTACTCTCATCCTCTAAGGCAATGGAAAATGCAAGTTACCAAGCCAGTGTGCAGGTGGAGTCATTGCGAGAACAATTGCACATCGTCTCCAAGCAGAGGGATGAATGTGCAGCCCAGCTCACTGTCTCTCAGGACCAAGTAAAGCAGTATGCGCTGTCATTAAGTAACCTACAGATGGTCCTAGAGCACTTCCAACACGAGCAAAACGCGATGCATTCTGCTGAATTAGAAAAACAAAAACACGTTGCAGCCGAATGGAAGACAAAGGCAGAAAATCTTGAAGCAAAAGTATTATCATTGCAAGAACATTTGGATGAAGCGAATGCAGCACTGGATTCAGCATCCAGACTTACAGAACAGTTAGATCTAAAGGAACAACAGATTGAAGAACTTCAAAAACAAACTGAGCTCCGACAGGAAATGCTGGATGATACACAAAAGAAATTGATGAATTTAGTAAACATCACAGAAGGAAAAGTGGACAAAGTCCTCATGAGAAATCTTCTCATTGGTCATTTCCACACACCAAAAAGTAAGCGACATGAAGTATTACGGTTAATGGGAACCATCCTTGGTATGAAGAAGGAGGAGATGGAGCAGTTGTTTAATGAAGACCAAGGAGGTATTGCGAGGTGGATGATTGGGTGGCATGGAGAAGGATCAAAAAGTATCCCCAACATACCTCTGACACCAAATCAGCAATCTACTCTTAAGAGTTCTTTTTCAGAGCTTTTTGTTAAATTTCTAGAAATGGAATCTCGTCCATCTGTCCCCTCACCAAAGCTTCCTGTTTATGACATATAACATCTAGATTCACCAGAAGACAACTGGACACAAATGCACAAGTTTTAAAGGTACAACAGAACCCAGGGTGGGTAGAAGAGCAGACATGAATCCATTCTTGATCCCCGCTCTGCAGCTGTGCCTCTTATTAAAACTGCTGGACTTGGACTTGGTGGGCTCGGGCATCTTCTTTTGAAGCCCATCCCAGACTTTCTGTCCACATTGACACTTTGCCAGTGTCACCTGACAACAGTGCTTGCACTGTGCCAAAGACCTGCTAAAGCAATAGGTGATTCTGAAGCCAGAGACTATCTTGCACTTTAAAGGAGGCGTGAATACTATGTTTATTTATTTTATCACAAAGTGGACTTTCAGAAGAATTTGTATTTGTGGTGGTAATTTCATAAATTTAATAAAAATATTTTTATTGTTTTAGAAATTGCAGGTGTCAGAGGAGCAAGTCTTTGCTATTCAATTTGCTTTTTTCCTTCTCTGATTTGACCTAATTTAAGAGAAATATTTGATTTATCTTGATTTACAGAAATAAAAAGGGAACACATAAATACTGGTAGCAACCTACATCCGTTTTTTATTTCCTTCTCTGATTTTCAAGCTCATTTTAGATAGAAACAGACAGTTCATCTTTTAAAGATTATCAAGGAATTTACAAAAATAAATGAAACAAAACTAGTAGCGGCTTCTCTGCATAGGGTAGAAAAAAATCTCAAGCATATATTGTTGATCTTTGGAGGACTTAGAATAGACAGGCCAAGAGCAAGGCTCTCCCTGGGAGCTCCTAGGTGCCTTGAGATGGAATACGTAGTTGGTTCTGTGCAATTGTGTCACGTGAGTATGTGTGTGTGACCACCATCTTCAAGTCACAACTCTTCCAGCACAGGATACATCGAGCTGCCCTTTCCTACCATGAGCACCCTTGCTACCTCCCACCTTCATACCTGACAGCCACTGTCACCATCTCTATAATTTTGTTATATCAAGAATGTTGTATAAATGGGGTCACCTCTTGAGATAGGCAATTTTACTCAGCACAGTTCTGCTAAGATCCATCCAGGGTTGTTGCATGATCAATAGTTTATTCCTATTGGTTGTTGAGAACATGGTGTGGACATACCGCTTAGTTTCAAGAGCTGCGGTGGCTGTTTAAAGGTATCATCTAATACTAGGTTTCCTCACACAAATACAACTTTGATGTAAGTTTCACTGTGCAGCTGCAGCCATATCGCTGTAGTCAGCAATATCACCAAACCTGCCACTTGCTGCCTCTGCCTGAGGTGTTGCTTCTTGAGACTCAGTGATGCAAGACTGTGTGTCCCTGTCTCAGTGGACACTGAGGGCAGTGAGATCACTTCAACAGCAACAGCACCATCTGTTTGGAATTTAAGGGTAAGATAGTATTGCTTTAATTTTTTATAAACATCTTACAAAGTTGTCACTCAATGTTTAGTTCTATCAGGATGTTCATATTCCTACTCGTTATTGAAGTTGTATATTTAAAAGACATTTCTTGCACATTTTGTAAATTTAGATATGTTCTTTAAGCTAGAAACAGTTGCATAACATAGGTGATAATGAAACTAAATATGTAAACAGGTGCAGTTCTGGCCAGAAGTAAATTCAGTTGTAAATTTTATCGTGACAAATTGTAGACTTCCAATGTATTAGAAGACTGGAAGTTTGATTATGTGTTGATGGTTTAAACTTTTTTTTTCTAAAAAATTATGTAACTGCGGTATGCTGCTTCTTGGTGTCACCTATCTCCTAAAAAACTTATTTATTTTGCCATTCTTCAGTACATTTTAAAGGAAGCTGTCATCAAAGTTCATATTAGAAATGTTAAGCTGCTACCTGCTTGGTTTGCCTGTTGTTATTTCTCTATGACATTAACAGATGCTCCTCATTTTACGTGTGTGATATCCCTGTAAACCCAGTGTGAGCTGAGAACATCTTAAATTGAAAACACATTTACTACACCTAACCTCCCTACCATCCTTAGCCTCTGTACACAGCACGCCATAGAGTACTCGTCATGTGTCCTCGTGATTGTTTGGCTCCATTCTGCTGCCCAGCACCCAGAAAGCATACCATTCCCAGAAAAAGATGAAATAGAACTATAGTTTCTACTGGATCTGCATCAGTTTTGCACCATCATTAAGTTGAAAAATTGTAAGTCAAAGTATCCTTTTGTCACTGACTATCCTAAATCATTTGCAGCTTACCACTGAAATTTCATGTCAGTCCATAGCAACTGAATTCTAGTTTCTAAGCTAAAAAAGATACATGGTCTTTCATTTTGAAGAAATAACATGAAAAAATAGTTTTGTTTTGAAAAGGAGGTGCATGGTAGATATTTAAGTAGACTGTCACCATATGAAATTTTATGACATTTTAAGTACTTCCTTCCCTGACCAAACCAACCTGTCTCCATCACCCAGTACCTTACCCTAAGTTGTGTGAGAGATGAGTCATCTGCTCAAGGAACCTTCTTAGTGACCAGACAGAAATGAAGAAGGACACTCACAGCACACTCACTGCAGTTTTTTAACAACAGCAATTTTTACTGTTTATTTCATATGAACTTGGTAAAATTTGTGATTGGATGTTGCCTTAGCTTTCACAGTATCTCACAACATTCCTCATGGTTTTCAACTATAGTTAAATATGCTATCCCAGAAAATTGCATGTATCCATTGAAGTTGACATTAATACGATACAGTATCCTAGGGTTTGTGAATCTTGGTTCCTAAACACTTCTTTTGTGCAATACCGAGAATTGAACATGGCCTTGAGCTTGCTTATCCAGCTTTCAGCCTTTTTGCCCAGGTGCGCCTCAATTCTTTTTATTTTCCTTTTTTATTCATATGTGCATACAATGTTTGGGTCATTTCTCTCCCCTTCCCTCCACTCCCCCCCTTCTCCCCCCACCCCCTCCCTCTTCCCCTCTACCCCCTTCACTACCAGGCAGAGGGCTTCAATTCTTAATCGTCCTACTTATTCCTCTCATGTAGTTGAGATTAATAGATGCACATCTCCATCATGCCTGGTTTGTTTTTTTGAGAAATAGTCTGGATAACAGTTTTTTGCCTAGGCTGGCCTTGAACATTGATCTTCCTGTCTCTGCCTCCCAAATAGCTGCGGTTATAGGGTGAACCACTGCATCTGGCTCCTAAACAATCTTTTAAAAGGAGAAGAAAGCAAAAGTAAACAACAAATCCACAAGGAAAAAGAAATGTCTTTCTTGAAACATTCAGTATCCCCCAAATAAAGCTTTTGTTTCTTTTAACTCTTCTTTTTCTTTTTTTTCTTTTATTATTCATATGTGCATACAAGGCTTGGGTCATTTCTCCCCCCTGCCCCCACCCCCTCCCTTACCACCCACTTCGCCCCCTCCCTCTCCTCCCCTCCCCCTCAATACCCAGCAGAAACTATTTTGCCCTTATCTCTAATTTTGTTGTAGAGAGAGTATAAGCAATAATAGGAAGGAACAAGGGTTTTTGCTGGTTGAGGTAAAGATAGCTATACAGTGAGTTGACTCACATTAATTTCCTGTGTGTGTGTGTGTGTTGTGTGTGTGTTACCTTCTAGGTTAATTCTTTTTGATCTCACCTTTTCTCTAGTTCCTGGTCCCCTTTTCCTATTGGCCTCAGTTGCTTTTAAGGTATCTGCTTTAGTTTCTCTGCGTTAAGGGCAACAAATGCTAGCTAATTTTTTAGGTGTCTTACCTATCCTCACCCCTTAACCTTTCCATGGTTAGTTTCAAGGGTCAGAAAGACTTAAAAATACTTAGCCAGTCAATAAGTGGGAAATAAAAAGAGCAAGCTATGACTTCAGGGACAGGGCAGGAGTAACTTGACTGCACCAAATTTCAAGTCATGTGACTCTTGTTTTACACTCATGAAGTTTTTCATGTATCAAAATGTTTAAAACATCTTCCATCAACGAAAGTTTATCTTTAATTTTGTAAATATCTGAAGAATTAGGTGATAATTATTTCAAATGTTCCTGTGGAGGAGAAATAACTTCAAAGTGCTGACCTTTCTTATTATTTATATCTTTAGCCTTGACTTATTAAGTTTTCACTATTTAAAATTGAAAGATTGTCTTGATCTATAGGGAAATAACTAAATGTGTGAAATTTCCCACCCAACCTTAAGATTAGATTGTGTTTTATAAAACTAAAGTCAATGTGTCATATTAATTTCCCAGGAATACTGCAAGAGAGGGGGGGAAAAGACAATACAGCAAATAAAAATGATGCATGTAAATTGGCAATGTCTTCATCCACAATAAAAAAAGATTTTAGCAAAATAAATAAGGAGCACCCCATTCATGGGTTCAAGGTCTTCAGTCACTTAGCATGCACTCTCGATGAGGGAGAATCAGTTTTCTGAGAATTCCTATCCTGGGGTAACAAATAGCCCTTCCTTCCCACTTCCAGGAGGCAGGGAACAAATGGTGCAGAACTCATTGTGACTGCAACTGGACCTGGAGCCTCCCCTGCAGTGGCTGTGGACCTGCAAGCTGGCCAGCAGCATGCCAAGCCTATCCTGGCGTCCCTTGCCTGGAACCTTGCATGACCTCCACTGTCACTCCCAGATTTGTGCCACCCTCTTTGGTGAAGAATCAAAGCATTGCCCATGAAGAGATGTCAGAATCTTGGGGATCACAGAAACAACCAGGAAAGAATGGCTGGCACCCCAGTGTCACCCAATCATGGATATCTTACAAGGGCATCGCACATCTGAGGCCTGGAGTTCCGCAGCCTGTGGGTGTCCATCGAGCACAGGGTTCCTGGTCACGAGGCTCAAAGGGTGAAACCACGATGAAGAGGGATGAGGCTCCCAGCACTGCAGTCTCCTTCAGGGAAAGTAAAGGGCCTTGCCCTGTGAGGAGGTGACTGACGAGCTCGTTCCTCCCGGAACACGAACCCATCACCACAAGCTCACAGAGGTCACTCCTAGCTGCAGACAGGCACTGGGAGAGGCCAGGAGGTGGACAAGGCCTCTCTTCTCTGTGACCATCTACGGTGAAGAGGACTGACCAACAGGAAAACAGCATCAAAGCAAGTTTCAGCCCTCCTACCTCCATCCCTTCTCACACATGCTAGGAGGTGTTACCCTTGACATAGATCTTCAATAGCAGGGTGGGTGGTATAGAGATGGATGAGGGGCGTTTATAGGAGACAAGCATGTCTTCATTATAAAGCCCTACCACAGAAACAGAGGCTAACAGTGACCATGTGTTAAGCATATTTTTATGTTTGTTTTTAAC